TGGTTTAGATAAAAATCAGTGTTTAATTTCGAGAGATCAATGGTTAGATACCTTGATACAATATTTGTCGAAGTTTTGATATCACTAAAATTATTATTGTTTTTTTGACGGTATCATCAGAAATCGATGTAAACTTTCTCTAGTTACGAATTTTATTCACCAAACTCATGGTTTTCTACTAAGTAAATCTTTATTTAATTGTTTCTAAGAAAATAAGAGACAAAGGGAAAATATTGCTTCTATTATGCTACTTGGTACAACATTTTAATGAAGAAAATCTAACATTGTAGCTTGCAGAAGTATTGATGGAAAGTTTATAAAGACAAAAAAAATGGACTCAATAAATTCCAATAGGTATAATCCAAAACTCATGAGATTAATAACAGAATTTAAAATTTGCTATCCTATAATCCAAACGCCTAGCTTGACAAAAACCGATAGATCGAACCATGCAATAATTAAGTAATCCAAATGATCACTTTAATTAAGGAGAAACCAGAACAAAAGTGGAAACATCAACCTTGAAACCCAGAGTGCGGATTGCGGGAGAATTGTTGCCGCTGAACAGTGTCTACATGGTACGCCCGGAGGATTAAGGTAAAACCAGGGATAGTAGGGTAGAAAAGGAGTCGGCGGTGGAGGAATGGGATTGTTTCCGGTGGATCCCGGTGGAGGGATAGGATTGTTCTCGGGGACCGGTGGAGGGTTAACATATGCTGGAGGAGGAAAAGTATTAGGTGGGTAGGATGATGAAGGCGAATGTGGCTCTAAACAGGGCGGTGGTGGTGACTGTCCCATCACCGTCGGCGGCGGCGGCGGAGCATTTGGTGGTGCCCGGTAGCAGGAAGGACATGAATGAGAGGATTTCACCATTCCCAGAAATAATACTGAAAACAGAATCATAGAGGCAAGTTTTTGGCCATAATCGCTAGCCATTGTAAGAAAGATATGACCGACGAACTATGAAAAACAGAGATATACACACATATTTGTGTATATATATATACACACACATAGAGAGAGAGAAATTTAGGGTTTCGGAGCGCTGTATATACACGAACTAGGGTTGTATATGAAGTAATTTCGTTTCCATATATATATATACACAAGGATTATACACTGTTTTATGGTGCAAGATCTTCGGTTGGTCCGAAATCTTTAATTTTCAGTTTTCTTGTAAATTTAAAGTGGCAGCTTCCACAAGAGAACTTTTATTCTGCAGACTCCGATCTGTGATTCTGTGGGTGATATGAATATATGCGGATTCTCTCAGGTAATTAATCAATAGTTCCCGTTTTAGTCCTTTTTCCCTTTTTTATATATATGCCACAAGTTTGCATGGATTCTGCATGTTCTTGTCTGGACAGTGTGAAGATTTCCTGTAATTACTATAAAAAGAATAAAATAAATCCTTAAATTAATGTCATCCTCCTCAGTCAAACCCTAGAGAGCCTTTTATTTTTATTTTTATTTTTTAACTTCACTTGGTTACCATTTCAATCTTTAGCAAAGAAACGTAAATGTTGAACTAAAAGAGAATATAGTATATATATATATACACACATAGAGAGAGAAATTTAGGGTTTCGGAGCGCTGTATATACACGAACTAGGGTTGTATATGAAGTAATTTCGTTTCCATATATATATACACAAGGATTATACACTGTTTTATGGTGCAAGATCTTTGGTTGGTCCGAAATCTTTAATTTTCAGTTTTCTTGTAAATTAAAAGTGGCAGCTTCCACAAGAGAACTTTTGCAGACTCCGATCTGTGATTCTGTGGGTGATATGAATATATGCCGATTCTCTCAGGTAATTAATCAATAGTTCCCGTTTTAGTCCTTTTTCCCTTTTTTATATATATGCCACAAGTTTGCATGGATTCTGCATGTTCTTGTCTGGACAGTGTGAAGATTTCCTGTAATTACTGTAAAAAGAATAAAATAAATCCTTAAATTAATGTCATCCTTCTCAGTCAAACCCTAGAGAGCCTTTTATTTTTATTTTTTAACTTCACTTGGTTACCATTTCAATCTTTAGCAAAGAAACGTAAATGTTGAACTAAAAGAGAATATAATAGAATTATGTCAAATTTTCTCTTTCATAATTATGGTTTATGTTAATGATTATCTTAAAATAGGATTGTCTATTAAGTATACGAGATCTCTATCAAATAGTTAGTTTGAAAGTAGTAAGGAGTTAAATTCAACACTTGACGGTTTAGGGCAAATAAAGAGCACTCTCCATCTCCCAAAGGGATAAGTGTATTTTATTGCACATTTATGTGAAAGTCTAACTACGTTATCTTTTAAGTCTATTTTATGATTTACCTAGATTTTTGATAATATGTCACTTACGTTAAATGATTTATAGAGACAAATAATAAGATTAATAGCGTTAGATCTATAAAATGTGTGGATAATAATGATTAGTAGTTATGAATGTGTAGTTGAAATTAATGTTTGACTTTAACTGAATACTGTGGCATAGTCTAAAACGTAAAATCTATGGACCAAAATGAAGTGAATTTATGATTTGAAACCTACAATCACGTACAAATTCTTAGTTAGATGTTAATTTAACATGTAACCAAAGAAAAATACAAATAAAAACACAAGACATTAATTGAGCGTTAATTTATTTCATTTTAATTACATAATACATACGTTCCAAACTAGCTAAATTACCCCATAGGTATTAAGCATGGATGTGCTTAAAAGTAACTTTAGACTTATTTATTAGCATAAGCTTTGAATTTTTTTTTTTTAAAAGTAAGATGTTAAATTTGCTTTACGAGAAAAGAAATTTGAAGCAAAGGAACATGGTCATGTGTTTGCACGTCTTCTTTGATTTAAACACACAAAATAAAATAGTAAGGAATTAAATTCAACACTTGACGGTTTAGGGAAAATAAAGAGCACTCTCCATCTCCCAAAGGGATAAGCGTATTTTATTGCACATTTATGTGAAAGTCTAACTACGTTACCTTTAAAGTCTATTTTATGTTTTACCTAGGTTTTTGATAATATGTCACTTACGTTATAAATGATTTATAGAGACGAATAATAAGATTAATAGCGTTAGATCTATGAAATGTGTGAATAATAATGATTAGTAGTTATGAATGTGTAATTAAAATTAATTTTTGACTTTAACTGAATACTGTGGCATAGTCTAAAACGTAAAATCTATGGACCAAAATGAAGTGAATTTATGATTTGAAACCTTACAATCACGTACAAATTCTTAGTTAGACGTTAATTTAACATGTAACCAAAGAAAAATACAAATAAAAACAGTAGACATTCATTGAGCGTTAATTTATTCCATTTTAATTACATAATACATACGTTCCAAACTAGCTAAATTACCCCATAGGTATTAAGCATGGATGTGCTTAAAAGTAACTTTAGACTTATTTATTAGCATAAGCTTTGAATTTTTTTTTTTTAAAAGTAAGATGTTAAACTTGCTTTACGAGAAAAGAAATTTGAAGCAAAGGAACATGGTCATGTGTTTGCACGTCTTCTTTGATTTAAACACACAAAATAAACTTGTAATGGCCTTCATATATGAGCATCACATGACAATGATTTGTTACATTACAAATTTTCCACGGAAATGGAAATTTTTTTAATGTTATAATGACTGGATGACTTTTTGATAAGTATTATTGGCGATTTTCTTCAAAGTTACTAGGTCAACAAATAGATAAAAGTAGAGATTGACTCGATCAACCAAGTAGGTGGGAGTCAAGTAAATCCTTGTATACCTAAGCAACATGTAAGAGGAGGCATAAAACCATTGATGGAGTAGGTTTAGGTCTGAGTTTGATCATGAAAAGACATCGAACAATAAATTCATTCAACTATTGATTGAAGATGATTTTAAAGATGGGGATTGGAGACGGAAAAGTGTGGTACTAATAAAAGGCTACTTTACCATATGCATTGAAGGTGGCGGGTGCAAGTGATGTCAGAACGGATTTCAACCCAAGGATAGGAATTTTCCAGATATGCTTTTGGATACATTCATGAAAATGATGACGAAACTAGAGACTTTTCGAATTTAGGATTCCGTTATAAATTTACAAGATCATCTCTGTTCATTAGCGAATTCGAAAGTGATCACCTGCTGAAGAAATACTATAATCGACATATGATGATGAGTATGATTATGACTCATGAAATGTAATTTTTCACTACAATACACGGAGACTCAAGAACAAGCTCTCTGTGATATCCCCTATCATGCTAAGCCATCAGAGATAATATGAAATCAATCCTACTATGCTACTTGACAGATCTCTCAAAAATTCCGTTTTTTTTTGGGGGGGGGGGCAAGAATTTTGTGGCCTTCCTTTATAAATTTTGCTACTTTTAACCAACAAAATGACATTCTGGGTGACCTAATTGTCACTTGACAATTCTGTGTTGGTTGGTGGAAAGAACCAACCAATGGTGATTTGCCATTTGGCAATTCTATCAACCAGGAAGTCACGTAAGTGTTAATCTAGTAAAACTCTTCTTTTATTCACCCATGTCAATATTTGTCAACAAGGGTGACATTTTCTTTCTGACAAAAAAGTTTAATTCAATATGAAATAATTAAGCTAATGGACTATCCTAAAATGTGTGCTCAGTCATTTCTTTTCCTCATTTTGCCATTTGTACACCATTGTTGACAAGTCGGTGTACATGCCCCTCACATGAGGAAGGGGCCCAAGCTTAATAAAAAAGAAAGCGTGGACCCCTTTGTGTGAGGAGCGTATACACCGACGTCGACACAATTTTTTCTTTTCCTACGGATATGATTACCCAAAATTTGTTTTGACATGTCTTAATCAGTATAGAGTAGGTAAAACCTATAATTTCTTTTACCCAACACAGCAAACTGGACAAACTCCCTCGATAGTATCAACCAACCAAATTGAACATTAATCATCATAATTTACTAAACAAACTGAATATTATTTTACACGAAGGGAATAGTACCGTTACAAATGATAAATAATTATTTGACGAAAATTACATCTCTATATACTTCACTTCTATCAACAGTAAATTAACAACGCGGAATCATCTAAAAAATTCTTAGTATTGAAATTTCTTAAATCATCTGGCATCGAAAAATGAGTGAAAACATGTTGCATCCTTCTTGTCTTCAGGGCATAATCCTATTAGATGAGAAAAGTCTGATTCGGGCATTTGGCGCACAAGGATTTTTGATGTAATCTAAAGCAGCTTTTGCTTTGTAAAAGCTTTCTCCCATTATTCTACTTCTCCAACTAGCTCTTCAACCGACCGAAATGTCAGAAACCAGTAGCTCATTCAATCCAGACACCCCTCTTCAAGAGAAAATCAATTTCCACAGGGTTGGAGAAGTAACTTCGTTGCACTAAGAAACCAGTAGCTCATTCAATCCAGACACCCCTCTTCAAGAGAAAATCAATTTCTACAGGGTTGGAGAAGTAACTTCGTTGCACTAAAAAGTGGTTGCATGATGTAGCTGTTGCTGGTGAGTTAGAAGATCAATATACGGATATAGAAGAACTTCCAATTCAGAAGCTTTTAATTTATTTCCTACTCCAACTGAAGCATTTTGAACTCCAAACATAGGCCAAGTTTAAGAAAGTTTTGAGCTCAGCCAAACATGCTGCAAGTGGAAGGAAATGTAGAGTCATCCAAAAGATCAATGTCAAGCTCTTGGTTAATCACGTCCACTGGCCACAGAACTTGGGTTTTGAAGAATTTACTTGCAACAATTCCAGTACTTCGACCTTCAAGTATAAACATAGATGGCACAGTATTGAGCAAAGTTTCACAAACAGTAGTCAGGCAAGAATTTCCATCATCTAACATACTACACTAATTTCTGGCAGTGCCCTTAGACTTCTGAAATCCAAAAGACATTCCCTTGGTTGAAAATTTTCACAAGAAGCAGGACCATGGGAACGAACTTGGCTTTCTAACATAATAAATTCTTATATCCAACAACAAAATTTTTGTTTATATTTCATTATCTAGTTAATTCATTCAAAAGAAGGGGAAAACCCATATACAACAGGTAGATATGCTGACATCCTAAGATTAACACACAATTTAGTCTTTTAAGAAAAAAATTTATCCACATACTACAGTATGGTAAAAGATTATCAACACTCTTCCTGTTCATCTTTACAAGTGAAATGCCAACTTGAAATATTCTTCTGCCCCTTCATGTATTATAAATTCCTCAATAAAAAACGCAGCTCTACCAGCTGTCCATATAAAGAAAGAGGCTTTCATTGGGGATCAGATTATGATCAACTTGCAAGGAAACTATTCTCTGTCTCAGGAAGCAGAACATAGTATTAACAGGTTAAGAACATCCTAATTTAGTTGCTTTGTAATTATTGAATCTCCATTGATAAAACTCAAAAGTAGTCCAGTCAATATCCCAATCTTGAACTTCCCCCCTCTATAACTTACACCTTGTAAAAAAAATTCGAACAACTACAAACATCGTATCAGCTATATAAATCCCTCTTTTAAACCGAAATACTATATAAATCCCTCTTTTAAACCGAAATACTTAATGGCTCTGATAGCATCCCCCAGATTTATACCACTAAATTTAGAGAATTCTTCCAAAATATTCATTACACCATTCAACAGACCACTTCAATGTAGAAGATAAGTTGCTCTGGTCCTCCAATTTCCCTCTCACATCCATATTTTTCACCAATCAATATTCTCTGCAAAACCACATGCCTAACAAGTTCTGTGGAAGATGCAGGTTCCAGTTAACAACTCTTAAGCATTACATACATTGTTCCTATGCACTTTCTCGGTAGCAATACCAATGTACATTGCACCAAGTATTCATAATCCATGGGACTTTGTTCTGAACCAGACCTCATAATTTACAGTTATGCAATCAATACACAATGCAATTTATTATTGATGCTCATCCCAGGGTAGATAACACAAACATGAAACTATATAATTGATTTCTGATTATATCACATTTTGCTGCATTGTACACATTAAGCATCATTCAGTAGAAAATAACACCAAAGATGTAGTGAATAAACATTAAAGGTTCCAATATAATGGAGTAAATATCAGTTTAAAAGAAGACTAATAGATTTATTAAGTTTTGGCGAAGAATTTTCATTAACATACATAAATATGATAGACATGAAAATAAATCAAGCGAAGCATCTCATCTTGAGCTTCAGCATAAGATCAAAGGGAACGATTTACATGCTACAAAAATTCAGAAGGTGAGGTAGCATCTGGCTTTCCATTATCCCCCAAGCCTCCTGGATGCTGCATATTCTGCAATACTTGAGGTGGCAAAGGCCCCAATCCACCACCTAAACCATCATTCACCGACCCAAAAAATTGACACACAAGCCGAGCCATAACCCCCAGAATCTGCAATTGATTTTGGCAAGCATCAGCATGCATTTGCATCATCTGTTTCTCGTGTTCAATCTGCATTCCGACCATTCTCTCCCTCCATTCCACCTCTTCCTCCTCCCACTTCTCCTCGAGCTTCATTCGCCTCCTCTTCTCCTCATCAAATTCCCTTTCTAACCTCAGCCTTTTCTCAAGTTCCCTTTTCGCCCACGTTAGCTGCCTTTCTTCCAATTCTATTTCCTTTTCATCAATCTCCTCTTCCCTCTCTTTTATCCGCTTTTCTCTCTGCATTCCCCTATCCTTCTGAGCTTTCTCATTTTCCATCAACCTTTCTTCTTTACACCATTCTCGTTCTCTCCGTTTATCTTCCCTCCGCAAAAGCACATCCTTCAATTCCAAAACTTTAGCACCCACCATACTTAATCTCTTCCCCTTAAACCTCTTCTTCAACTTCCTCCTTCCTTCAAAGCCTAAATCGTCATTTTCCTCTTTTGCCCTTTCCTCACCCCTTAAATCTTCGTCTCTCTGCTCTCTCTCCTCCTCGTCACCCTCTTCTTCTTCATCTTCCTCTTCATCATCCTCCATCCCTTCACTATCTATCCCATACCCCAATCCCATCACACCCCCCTCACCAAGAATATCAGAAATACCCTCACCCCCAAATTTTTGCCTAGTATTGTTATTAGTATTAGCAATATCAGATAACTCAATGTCACCAAACACTTCTTTATACTTCAAGAAATTTTCCCAATGAATTTCTCCATCACCCCAGTTAAACTCATTATTCGAAATCCTAATCTTCTGCTTCACACCCAAGTACTGATGCCTCATATTCTGCACTTTAATCGAAACATCACGCCAGGACCACTTGAAGGGGTAGCTTATTGGGTCCTGTAGATGGTGCAGGGAGTTCACGTGGTCCGCTATGGGCTTGAACTTCTTCTCCCGGGTTTTCAGCTTGGTTAGTGTCCCTGAATTAAGGAGGTCGGAATATTTTGATAGTAAAGTCTGCTCTTCAAGTTCTGACCATTTCTTGCGCTTCATCTTTTTTGGGGCCGGAGATTCAGTTGACGAAAAGTCAGGGAATTTCGGAGATTGGAGTGGAGGGGTGTCGGAAAATTTTTTGGGATGCGAAAGGCCAAAGGCAAAGGGCGAGTGCCGAGTGGCGGATTCGGACAATGAAATGTGGGTCCACTGTTCACTTTCTTCATACCAATTACCAAATAAATTTTGGGATAATAGCATACTTGGTTCCAACCTTTTAAAAAAGTAGGGATTACCTCTAATCTTTAAAATTAGCGTCAGATATCTCCAACATTTGAAAAAATGGGCATAATAGGTCCCTAATGATACTGTGAAAAGACAAAATTACCCTCCCTTTAAACAAATAAATTACTTTATGTAAGTTGGAAAATTCAGAGAAGAAAGCATAACCCCAAACTATTATCGATGGACCCAGAAACCGCCTTAGAACTGGTGAGGCATGGCACCACTCTTCTTCTTCTCGACGTTCCTCAGTACACTCTCGTTGGCATCGACACTCAGGTATGTACATAGTTATAACGGTTTCTCTATTTTCACTCTCGTTAGTATATATTTACAACAATTCGATGTGAGAGGAAATGACGATGCAGATGTTCTCTACGGGACCTCATTTTAAAGGTATCAAGATGATTCCTCCTGGAGTTCACTTCATTTACTACAGTTCATCTAACAGGTAGCTTTTAATCTCGAATACTTGGTATTTTTTGTAGAAGATGCCGGTAATTTTGATGCGAGAATTACATTTTAACAGTTTACCCCACTGAAATCATTTTATATGATATAACTAAGTTTTTTTTTCTGATCAATGCGGAGTCATTATTTGATACTGCATGCTTGTTTCTGCAGGGACGGCAGTGAGTTTTCTCCAATTATTGGTTTTTTTGTTGATACCAGCCCGTCACAGGTACGTGGGCGTTATTGCACCTTCCTTCATTTTCCTCTTATGTTTCTAATGCTGTTCTTCACTTGTAATCTTGAGATAAAACATACTTGTTATGCTGTATGTATACATGTTTGTTCCTTTTCTATCTAGTATGATGGCTCTCTTTTATTACACATGACATCTGTATTCTAGTTTACTGTCAGATATTCCCCCCTTTCCTGCATTTACTATCGTCTCCTTGTGAAGGTTCTTGTACTTGTGTGTCAATTTTATATACCCATTTGTAGACAACCTTAAGCGTTACTTGGGACAAAAGTATGTCGACTGTCTTGTTAACATTTCCTCTGCCATTCAAGGAGCAATTTGCAGGGATGATAAAACCTTTCATAAGGACTATTCAAGTTGGATACTCTTAGTAGGGCATCAAAGAAATGCTCTTACTGAAGTTTTGCCGTCTGGAGAAAAATAATACAAGGAATGAATTGGGTGTGAAGGCAGTTTGATGATTACCTTTTACTCCATTGCTATTGAGAATTTATGCATAAAGCTTTGTTGAGTTCAGTTGAGTTAAAGTTGCTGATTGTTTCAGATTTTCAGTTACCTTTTTTATCCACTTGTTCACTAAACCTATCAGCGATCACTTTTGTACGGCTTTGTTTCTTCACTTGTTCAACACATGAAATTACAACTGATTACTTTCTTGTGTGATGGAAAATTATCCTTATAAAATTAACCTACTGTATATGTTAATATGTTGTGACAGGTCATTGTTCGGAAATGGGATCAAGAGGAAGAGCATCTTGTCAAATTGTGTGAAGAAGAGGTTTGCATTTTGATAACCTTGTTTGGTTTTCGCTACATGCTGCAAATGAATGCTGATCTGCTATGACTAGAAGTACCCCTTCTGATATGTGGTCCCATATATTAAAATTTTATGCTTCAAGCTATAAAAGTTTATTACTTATTCATAGAACTAGTGATTGTTAATGCAAAGCACTAATAATGCCTATGTGAGAACATATTCTCCTGATTTAAGTAGAAATTTATAAAGTTATAGGTTTGTCTCTTCGTGTTTATGAAATCATAAGTTTTTCCCTTTCGTTTTATTTTTAAGGCTAGTTTTCTGGTTTTTATCTCACAACAAAAATTACACAGAACTCATATAGTGGCTAAGTTGAGCCAACATATCTCTGGGACTGTAGACTTGAATATCAAGTGTTTTTAAGCACCGAAATTATCTTATGCTAATACCGGAGCGCTGTTTCTTCTGCTTTTGGACAAAACTCACCTTTTGTTGAGAAACATTTCATTGCAATTGCATGAATGCTTAATAACTGCATGTTCAGACTTCCGAGAAAAAGGAACCAGCACATTTTTGGTTTGATTGCAATAAGCTATCTTGTGGATGAATTTACCAGGTCTGTAGACACAAATATTGTTGTCTCTAATTTGTAGGTCAATATGCTACATTCACTATCCCATGTTTGACGACTGTCATGTTGACATCTTGAAATGTAATTCAGTATCTTTCTTGGATGTAGCACCCGCTTCTGGACAATCATGTCTACCATCAAACTACTTTATCTGACCTGTGTTTGTAATGCTTTCTAATTGGCTTTGGATACAGGAAGAAAGATACTCAGATGCAGTTAAAAGATTAGAATTTGACAAGAATCTTGGACCATATACACTGACTCATTATGGGGAATGGAAATGCTTGTCTAATTATATCACCAAGAATACAATTGAACGCATTGGTTAGCAATTTATTGTTATTTAATGTAATATTTGTTTTTGTTGTAAACGTGTACCATTCATTAATTTAAGTTTGTTCTAGCTGATGGGAGCCAACTATTTTTCCATTAGTTGATTTGTCTTTTCCTTTCTAACCTCGAATGTCCCATCTTACCTAATCAAAGTTGTTCAAGTGGACGGGATGCAAAATGTCAAATATTATAAACTTAATAAACTAGAATGAAAGAATTAACAGGTCAAAAAATTAACCACTAGAAATCAAGTGGGATAATTTCAGCATAACATTATGCCCCCATTTGGTATTATAATTTTTAGAATAGTATTTTTTTGGAGAATGTGGTTGAAAAATAAGGAAAAGTTTTTGGTTTACGTGTAATATTATTTTATGAAAGATTGTATGATTGTCTGGTTGAAAATAAAAGAAAAATTATAATGTGAAATAATGGGAGGCCAAATGGGGTCTATATTTTGATTTTGGGCAATCAACTGTACCATTCATCTCGGTATATTTCAGGAGTTCTTAGTGCTTACTGTTACAGGTCATTGAGCATAAAGTTGTTTGGAACTCATCTCCATGGTGGCATCATAAGAGACCTTTGAACACTTCATATTGAACCTATATATCTGTCACCATTATTTTTGTAACTTGCCCAAAAAAAATGGAATAACAAAGGAGGTTCATTGATAAACATAATTTTATTTTGGGACATGGTGATATAACACTGGCATCAGAGATATTTGGTAAAATGGTGAAAGCTAGATTTACTAGCCAAACTCCATAAACAATTTATGAGCAGGAAAGAAAGAGTCATGCATTTTCAATTTTCAAGATATTGGATATGTGTTCTCTTACATGGAGAAACAACTATAATACATCTGTGGGAACTGATTGATTTCGATTGTGAATTTGCCAAATGACACATAATGGAAGTAAGCCCGTTGAGAAACTAAATGCTTCTTGGCATGTGAACACGTTTGCGTGGGTGTTGGGGGGGGGGGGGGGGGGGGGGAATTTTCCCCCCCCCCCCCCCCCCCCCCAAAAGACCTTATGATATCTTCTTTAAATGGTAATCCAAAATAAAATCATCTTTGTATGAATCACTGAATGCTGTTATATCTCAAAAGGCGCACTTATTATGATAGTAACTTCATGGCCCCTTTCTAAGAGAACTTTCCTTCATTCTTTCTTTTGTAATTTATATTCATTTGGTGATTTACAGAACCTGCTGGAGGCGAAATTACAATTGCTTGTGAATCTGAGATGGTTGGTAGTATTCCTAAAACAGAAATGGAGAAAGCATTGATTGAACAGCTGAAAAATACCAAGTTTTCTATACCAATAGAAAAATCCCAAAAAAGAGGTTGTTACTACACTCCCATTCCCCGTGTTGTCAAGCATAAGGGAATGAATAGCCAAGATCTTACTCTTATGAATCTCGATAAGGTATTTGATTTCAAGGTTTACTAGTTAAAATTGTCTTTAGTTTATAGTGTTTGACAGACATGTTGATTTAGGGAAATTATGCTTATCTTTTCAGACGCAGCTATTGGAAACCACATTGACAAAAGCATATGAAGGTGACGAAGATTCACTTCTAGGAGAGTTACAATTTGCATTCATTGCATTTCTGGTAGGAATAAGCTCTCTCTTTTTTTTTTTCTTTTTTTTTTTTTTTTTTTTTTTTTTTTTTTTTCAAATTTTCATCCATGAGGACATAGATGTTTAGAATATAAATGCACAGCTGATGCACGCCTACATTCATATGGATTTTATGGAGTCCATCAATTCATATATTTAATTTATGCACAAATTTGCAGATGGGACAATCACTTGAAGCATTTCTACAGTGGAAGCTTTTAATTGGTCTCTTGCTGGGCTGCACAGAGGCTGTGAGTATAAATATATATGGATTAATTTCCTCAGTATATCAATCAAATAGAAGGGGCTAAATTTCATACTGTTCCTCACTGTTAGAATGGGATTCTATCAGCTAATTTTATGCAAATAGATCTGGACAGTGTTGGGAGTAAACTTTTTTTTTTTTTTTCCCTCATCTGAAAATGCTCAGCTCAAATGTGTGATGAATCTTGTCCATAGAAGTGGATCTGCTTAAAGTTAAGTTTCAATTATTGTGAAATTATTTTATGCTCTAGTATTGTGGTGAAATTTGAAACTTGGATTTTAGAATAAGTTTCAACTGTAAATCTTTGAAGTGAAGGTGAAACGATCGAGGCTTTTATTGTTGTTTTCAATATGCTGCCCAAGATCAATATAATTGTCATTGAGATGAAAATTTTGGATTTTGACTCCTGAAGCCCCCACCCTTGTGGCATTGGCCTTATGGTAGTTTCGACAGGTTAAATAATGACGTGTTAGTTTACACATGGTTATAATATTAATTGATTAGATTCTCTTTTATAAAACCAGTAAGCTGATACAATCATAAGCTTGTGCACAGTAGTTCACGGTCATATCGTTAATGTGGACCTTAGCTCATGGGTGTCCATTTTATGCAAATAATGCAGCATATTAGATTTTCTCCTAGGTTTACAATTCCAAAAGTTAGATGAGGTCATGGTTTTAATGTGGTTTTTCCGAGAACTAGCCAGTCAGCCTTTTGATTTTCCATTCACTTGTGATCAGTGGACTGGCTTGGTTGATGCGATCATATATTGAGGTAGGGACCTTTTCTGGAAAATATTCTGGATCCGGAAAGTGTATCTCTTTCTTTACCATTCATTTTAATATGCTCCAAATTATTGATGGAATTAAGATTCAGAAAATGAGAATTCTCTGTCCTTATGTCTGTCTGGCATTTCCATTTGAAAGCTATGATTGTAAATGAATATCTATAAGACATTCATCAAATAGCACTTCATTGTTTTTGCATGAAAAATTTCTTCTTACGGCGTATCGGTACTTGAAATTTCTTCTATAAGTTGCTTCAGCTGGGTAATTTAGATCCTCTCATGGTAATCATTTGAAGATCTTCAAAGCAATCGCTGAATCAGGCTAAGAACTTTGATTTTGTACGAATTCTGACATGAATGTTCCTCTCCTTACAGCCTCTTCATACCAGGAGTCGGCTATTCACAAAGGTAATTTGTACACACTGTTTCCGTCATTTATTTATATGAATTATTTAGACTCAAATCGTGGTAGCTTCAGATGCATTGGCTAATTAAAGCAATGGTCAATTAAGTACTCAACTTGCTGAATTCTCATCGACTGTTATTTATCCATCAATCTATAGGTCCTGAAAATTGATCTTTCAGTGTTGTCAAAAACCATGAATCATTTCTCAGTCAGTTAGTTGTCTACAATATTGCAGCTTCCATTCAAATTAACTGAATTGATATACTGGCTTTATTGTGTAAGCTGACCCACTGTGGGTGAGGTTGCTCATGGTAATAAATGGAAATAGTAGTAAAGAATAATTTTTTTGTGCACTATTTCCACCAGTAACCTAATCTACCTTTTTTATTGTGTCTTTGATTATAATGTTCCCGAGTTACACCTAGGCCCTTAGTTTTTTTCTGTTTGTTCTCTATCCCTTTCCCTCATTCATAGATTCAGCATTGGTAGCAATTTAGGCTTTTTAGGACTTTATCAAGAGCATTAGTTTATTGTTATTTGTCTAAGGATGTCCTGGTGGGGCAATACTGAAACTATTTTTATTTTCTTGTCTTGTGCTATTTATATAAACTTCTTGGCTGTCTTTTATTTATTTATTTATTTTTTTTGCAAAATCTATTTTAATAGCATTATAAACATTAAGGCACTCTTTAACCTTTTTGTTATTATTCATATACTGAATTTCAAATTGTCATGTTTGCACAGTTTATTCAAGTCATTTATTATCAGTTAAAATACGGATTAAAAAGTCATCGGAAGGATACTGGCGCTGCAGCCAAAGGAGTGACGGCATTGTTGGATGAATCTTGGTTATCTTCTGATAGCTTTCTACACCGTCTTTGTAAGGTAATTCTATGGACTAGTCGACATTCACATGCCCATCTATCTGTTATTAATTTTGAGCTATTTGAAAATTCTATAACCAAGAGTACTGGGAAAATACTGTTTCCGGTGAAAGGCTGTCAATTTGTAGATATCCTGAGCTGGTTTTTTGTGGACATTTTTTGCTAGGTTCAAAAAAATTGTTTCCTCATCTTAAGAAATAGTGAAGACCTATTGATTCAAGTCAACCATATAGATTGTTACAAGTTCCTTCTACAGATGGGAAGACCTATTTATTGAACTATTTAGATTCTTTCAAGTTCCTTCTACAGATAGGAGCTGAATGGTGAATAGTAAGTCGTGCAGCAAATTCATAACTGTGCTTACAAGTCTGGATTTTTTTTATTGCAGGATTTCTTTTCATTGGTACTGGAAGCTCCAGTGGTTGATGGAGACCTCCTGATTTGGGTGTGTTCTAGATCTTCTTTGTTTAAGACTCGCCTTGAACAGAATCAGAATTCAATTTTAGAATTTCTTAGTGGAGAAAAAAATAAATTTATTTCTGACTAATTAGTACCCATTTAGTTCTTCCTAACATTATCTGAAGTTGTGGTGTTAATGAAGTGGTAATCGATATCAATAGTAATTTTATTATTCAGGCTTTTCTTGATCTTTCTATTGTAACATGATGCTATGTAGTAAGTTGCAAAAGACTGGTATTATTCCGGGGTGGACTAGTGCTAGCTTCAATTTCCAAACATATTTGTCTGTGGAAGACTAAATTTTGCCTATTTGCTTTTGGAAGACAAGAAAACTGAAAGAGCTGCTCGAAGATTCTTTAGGATGGCAATTCAACGAAAACAGTGCAGTAGATGGAATGTACTTTGAAGATGATGACGAGGTTTGTATTCTGGGCAGCCGTTCATTTTAATGGGGTTTTTACTTGTAGCCTTTTCCAGTTTTCCTTAATATAATCTTTCAACTTTTGCAGTACGCTCCAGTGGTCGAGATGTTGGATGATTCAAGGACTGCTTGAATACAACATGAACCAAATCATATCCTTGATGGTGCCTGCAGTGAGCAAAACTAGAATGTTTTATATGACGTAAAGTTGCTGGAGTCGAATCCTCCTAATGAATGCCCTGTGCCGCACCGCGCTCTGTCCTTGTGTTTAGAAGAAAATATGGTTTTGCTGTATTATGTGAAATAAGGATCTTTTATTAGCTAGAGGTGTTTTTTTTCTTTTTTATTTTTTTATTTTTTTTATTTTTTTTTATTTTTGTGGGTTAACACTAGACATTGTATTGTAATTTACTTGCATATGATCTCTTTGATTCCTGTTAATTGTTCTAAGCTGTGGATTGGATTAGAACGTTGCTTTAAGAAACTGCCTTCAAAATACTCTCTCATGAGATTTGGTCTAGTTGATGGGCTATAATCCCTGTGCATCAATAGAGGATTGTTAATTGTTTAGCTATACAAATGTGACCGATGCAAAATCAATGCCGTTAAGGGAAGGATGTCGATTCAACTCTTAGATTTTAATATTTGAGTGGTAGAAGCTAAAGAAGTTCTATTATCTTGTGAAATGTAATGAATTAGGTCTCAGTGCTTCAGTTGTAAAATCTTATGTTTCGTTATAAGGTGGTGGAGTTAGATTCAAATTTTGAAGGGGTACGAAAGAATCCACAAGAGATAATGTGGGTACAAATTCTCTTAGCAAACAATGATTGCCAGATGAAGAAATTATTGTACTCAATTTAGCCCTTGTCTGATAACCATAAAACTATTTTTTACGTACTTATTTTTAACTAAGGTTTTGCTAAAAATCAAATTTTTAATAGATTATAAGACTTATTGATGAATTATATGGTTGAAAAGTTGATAAGAATTCATAGTGTATGAAATGTGAGGTTAAAATTACTTTTGAATTAGATTTGTATAAAAAAAAAATTTTTTTTTTTTTGCTAAATCAAGCGGGGACTTAATCAATATTATCAATTTTTTTATACGACCTAATTTGGTGCATCAAACAGATGATTAACATGTTCTGAGTAAGTGACTTTGAAGCTTGTGTATTTCTTGCTCTTTTTTCTCGATTGAAGCCTTGAATGGAACAAAGAGCAGTGTAAAATATATTGTCCCAACATTACGAGCAACCAACTGGGTCGATCTAGAAACAAAATCTTTATCATTTCACCTTATCAAAGTAAAAATACGTATTTCCAGCTTGAAAATTCTGAAGTTTAAGAAGTTTTTTTTAAATTGATTAATATTTTGCAAAGCAATTCATATAAAAATAAGAACTGTATGTATTTCTGCTTCAACCTTGAGCTATCAGTAACATAAGACATGGCCCGGAGGCTGTCTTCCCGCCTTTCCTTATTTCAATCTCTTTTAAGCGTCACAGAAACTCAACAACAAAATCCATTTGCACTTTTCAGATCGCTCTCTCTTGCTGATGTCACGTCGAGAGATTGCCTATTTATTGGCTGCTCTTTTCTCTTATCACAAGGTAGGTCTTCAATTTTTACCCATTCTTGCAGACTATCTGTTCGTTTTAAGTACGCAAAGAAGACATTGAAGTTTATTGACAACCATCTTCCTTTTTTCGTTCAGTTGTATTGATTAATGGAAGAAATAAGAATTTGGGCTCTTTTCGTAATTTTATTTTAATTTTTCATTTGCCTGCCACAATCTTATTTCTAGTGAAGTTATGCGCTGTCGTCTTTATGTTTTGGTTAGTGATTTGCAAGCGTTTGATTGCAGCATCACGTTCTTATGCGCGTGATAGGCGTTCAAGTTATGATTTATTTGGCGGTAAAATTCCAGGAGCTAAGGAGTTTAGAAAAGAGTGGGCAAAACAAATGGATGATGAAGAGGATCATCTTTGGACGGGAAGTGAAGGTGAGAGTGACACCCAGAAAAACAGTCATAGTGAGCTTAAAAAGGAAATTAAGAAAGCAAAGCAGCGGGCCAAAGATCGCTCTGATCGCATTGACGCTGATGATAGTGATGAATTGTACAGCGTGTGGTCAGATAGCGATGAAGAGAAGACACTGTGGAGTGGGGATGAAGGAGATGACGACGATGATATTCCTACAGAACCTGTCCCAAATGAGAAGAGTGATGAATACATAGATAAATTGTTCGAGTTCGAGGAAAAACCCAAATATTGGACACTCGCTGAAGCATTGAAAGATGAGCAGGAGCCTGAAGAATTGTCCCCTGGAAAACAGGCTCGAAAACTTGCAGTTGAGAACGCCCTTAAGAAATTAAAGAAAGGGCCGGATGGGCGGTACATTAATGTGTGGGAAGTCATGAGTGATTTGGACATTCTCATTGGAGCTTTCGAGAATATTGTCTCAGGACCAGAATATGAGGAACTTAGGCAAGGTGGGCCTAAGAAATTGAACATTCAGTTTTTTAAGGATATTCAAGCTCGTATGAGGGATCCAAACTATAAGTTCTCGCCTGAGTTGAAGTTAAAGCCAAAGAACAAACTTGTTCCGAAAAAGAAATGGCAGAAGACCCAGTCGAGACGTAGGAAAGCACAGAAGCGATGACTGACTTGCAGCTGCTTCTGAATGTCTAGAAAGATAAGCTGTAATCTCTGATCCTTAGAACACCCTTTCATAGCCTTAAATCTTGTTGGTTTTGACTAGCTTGCACTTTTGATTCTAGTGTACAAAAGGTTTCTTCGTTGCTTTCTAAATTTAATTACTGATTTCCCAGTATCGTAATTTTACTGTGCTGATTACTGTGACCATCCTGTTTAAATCTTTTCTGAGGAAGGATCAGCATTTACTATCAAACTGTTTTTTATTTCAATTTCAAACTAGGTTAAAGAAATTAGTTATGCTCATAGGAGATTGCAATGAAACTTATGTTTTTCCTGATTTGATTAGAATTTGAGGTCAAAACAGTGAATCTCTCCATTAGGAATTCAAAGATTGAAACACTAAAGCTAACTAAAAATATGGTCCTTGCATCCAAGTGCATCATGCCTTGTTGACCGTGCAAGGTTTTTCTTTTCTGATTTGAAGCTTGAAATTGCTGATAAGAGGTGTTTGATCCCAATAAGAGAATTTGTTTTTCCAAATGATACTAAACTAGCGAATGGGGGTAAAACATAAATGCTAAACAAATCAAGTTAAACGAAGTTTTAATGGTCAAGTTCAATCATACTTGACCCAATTGCTGGACTCCCCATTCTCTAAGATATGTATAACTTAACCGCACTGCATATTCATCTACATAATTACTTGCCACTTGCTACAGTAATAGGTGAAATCAATTTAAATGCAAGCTCTGTTGATGCAGGACGAATTAAAAAATAGAAAGAAGAAGCAAGAAAGAGGGGAGAATCGGAGAGAATGGGATGAGAAACCGGAGAAGAAGCAGAAATCAGGGGAAAGGGGAGAAGGAGGAAGCCATAGGCAACAACCCAAGCATTCTATCCTTTAATTATTCAATCATCAAAACTGAATATTACAATGCAAAATAGGTTTAAATAATAAAACAACCCTAACGAGCTTGGGCTCGAGCTCATACAAGTCCAAATTTAAATAATAGTCCAAAAAAATAAATAAAACTTAAATAAAATAAGTAAACGTCATCCGATATCCTCATCAACTCTCCCGGGGTGGGAGAAAAACTCGACCCTGTCGAGTTGATGGATAGTATAGGCTGCAGTCAATCTGATACTCCAAATGCTTCAAGTCAAGTCACGGGGATGATCTTTCCGACGAACCAAGTAGCGAAATTCCATAATTGATAGTACTGAAAACTGTAGCTTATTCCCAAGAATACGATCTGACCAAGGGGGGCGATCTTTCCTTCTAGCCAAGTACTGATACTAGACTCCAAATAACCAATACTCATGCACCTCATCTTTAAAATTTTCACATGATTGTACATAATGAGGAGCATAAGAAGCACGTCGATCTACCCAACAAACAAGGAAGTACTGAATTTTGCCATCATTGATCAATACAACACGTTCATTTAAAATAACATCAATTTTATCTTTGTGTACTGTGATAGATGGTATTAAAGTAGAAATATCAATATAGTCAAATTGGGGGTCCACAAAGTTAGGTAGAAATGGACCATCAAAGGAAGTAATACGGTGTTTGTAAGTAATGAAATCCTCAATATTTAAAGCAGAGTGGTAGCCAAAATGTGATGAAAGGACAATGACATGTGCATTTGAACCAACATGCTTTAAAATTTTTAAAGGACCAGCACTACAAACTTGCAATATAACATAATCCCCAATATTAAATTCAAAATTTCTCTTATGCAAATCAGTTTGAAGTTTATATAATGCATTACTTGCTTCAAATTGTTTATTGATCTCAATATGCAAGTCATGAAGATGACATACAAATGCCTCAGCTGACGCAGACATACTAGTATGTGGGGACATTGGAATAAGGTCCAAATGTTTCCTAGACTTATAACCACGAATAACTTCGATAGAATTTGTACCGATAAACTGATACACAAAATTGTTATATGCAATTTGAATTGTTGGAAGGATCAAATCCCAATTCTCAAGATTTTCCTTGAAAAGGATATGATTACACAAATCATCCGTACCTTTGGGTTGGAAAAGAGTATGACACGCAACATTTAACTAAGGGGTATCAGGAACAAGGGGTACAACCTTTAGATTCATAGAAAAAGTCTTGATACTACATAAGGAAGTGTCCTCAATATCATTCAAGTCATCACATTATTCAAATTTAGGTTTATAGATTTGATCTTTTAACGACTCTCCTATGACATCCTTTCGTTCTTCTATGACTAAAGCTCGATTAGGACATGTGGAAGAGATGTGGCCAAAGTCCTTACAGCTGATGCATAGCAGGTGAGAAGAAGTCCCTAGAGTTTCAAGAATTTTACCCTTATTTTCCAAAATTTGAGGAACATTAGACGGAAGAGGTCTTAGAAGAGACTTAACAGGAGGAGGTGGAGCTAATGAGACGGAAGAATGGTTGTCAATACGCCTTTTATAAGGAGAAGGGGGCCTTGGACTATTACGACATTTACACTTATTTTTCCAAATGGGAGGAACACTAGACAGGGAAGGCTCTAAGACAGACTCGTGTTGAAGTGGCGCTAATGACATGGAAGAACGATGGTGGTCGCGCTTTTCATATGGAGTACTAATAAGTAACTCGTAGTCCCGAGTTGAAGAGTAAGCTTGATCAAGAGTAGTGATGCCTCAAAAGAAAAGCTCACACCTAGGTTCATCTCTTAGACCTTCAGGGTCTCATCCTTAAAGACATAACATTTCACTCGAAATTCCTCAAATTAAGCAATGTACTCAGTTACTAGCCGATTCCCTTGTGTAAGGGTGTTCCATTGGGTAAAAATTTCATGATCTAAGGAACATCGAAAGTAGGAGTATCTAAGTTAATGTCTCTAAAGAAACGCTCCTTACGACGAGGAAGAGAATGAGTACCATGATGACCATGGTCTTGTTCTCGCTCACGAACCTGATCCCTATTCCTACGAT